GCTCTTCTCTTTTGACTGATACTCTTTCTACAGCAAACAGAAAAAGAAGGGGGAGCAACATAATTTAATTCTTTTTGCTAAATATACTAGCTTCATCAACCAAATGGCTTACGAAGAAATGATTCTACAGCCTGAGATGTTGAAACAAAGTTTTACTGAGACACCTTTGGCTTTGGGCTAGGAGGAAGGCATTCCAGCAGATCACTGCATTCAGCCCTCTACAGCACGTCTGACTGACTTCCCACACCACCATGTTGTACGGAATTACACTCCAACCTTTAGTTCTTTCTGAAAGACATACCAGAACGAGGTTCTCTGTTGCTCTGTCTGGGACTTCACATATCATACTAACCAGGTTATACTTACTTAAATAAATAAAAAGCAAGAACAATGATTTACTTTAGTATCGATACAGCAGCAGCATTCTGCCTTCCAACATTAATTATTACAATTTCCGTCTATTCTAAGGTAATTAAAAATTAGTAAACACATATGCAGTCTTAATTGATAGACTAGATTAAGTACTTGAATGTTAATTAACTGGATTAAAAAACTACTCGCACCAGCAATGGTTGTTTACATTTTCATTAAGTAATAAGACCATATAAAACAATTCATCACTATCAAATGGTGCCATCAGGTCATCTCTCTCCAGCATAAAACCACAAAACCAGAAAACCTCCACTTCACAGAAACTCATAAAGCTAGAAACTTTTGCTGTTATTTTTCACCCACTATGACAAGTGAGATTGTCAAAAAGATCACCTGAATTTTGCATATTCCTAAGTATCTGTCCACAATTTGTTAATTCTTTTATAATATTTATTGATGAATCTGATACTGGCTCATGTGTAGGCACCAATAATGATTTCAGACTTTTTTTATCATCAGTTAGGATTACAGCCCTATTCTCATGCTAGAAAGACAGCAAGTGATCCTCTGGTCTTCACATCCTCTGCACTTCTTGTCCAGTCTTTTTAGCACAGAGTGAAACTGAAATCACTTATCTTTTTTTAAGATTAGGAGCCATTTTACATATCTGGTTTCTTCTCACCAGAAGGACACTTATCAGATAATTTCATACAAGGACATTCCCAATTTGTTTCACTGTTCAGTGACCAATTCCTCAGTAGTTGATCTGTTGAGCAACCAGAAGTGTCTCGATTCCCCTGGCTGAACCGTGCACTTCCCCTCCTGGCCCATACAACTTCCAGATGTGGTCTTCCCTTTCACAGCTGCTATGCTTTTCTGGCATTTATGCTGCACAACTTCCACAGGATGGCCATTCATGTACAAAACTGCCTTTCACACAAGTGATTATTTTTCTACTTCCAGCAGAATAGAGACTATAGCTCTTCTGAGGCAGGTCCGAGTGACAGTTCAGCTCAACATCCATCTCTGGTGAGGCACCCACGCTGGCAAGGATTCTGTTTCTCAGTTTATGCTTAACAACTGAACTAAATAACTTTTTCACAGGAGACTTCGGTCCTTGAAGAGAGAGATTTTGATGGTCTAAATGAGATTCTAAAATCTAAATTAGCCTTGTCAATGTATCTCCACCTAAAATAACTACTTCGAGCATATCCTTTAAAACCTGATGCCAGAGGGTTATGCCCAGCCCTGTCCTGCAGTCCCAACGTATAGGTCTCTGCACACACTTTCTAACAGTCACCTGACCTGCTGATGTGAGAGATTTCAATCACTGTCAGAGCACTGCCATACACTTTCAGACGTGTGTAGCAAGTATCTGGAAAGAGGACATGGAAGAGGCTGGCAGAAAATTCAAACATGACCATCACCGGCATCCTTTCATAGAATCACAGAATAGTGTGGGTGGAAAAGGACCTCTAAAGGTCATCTAGTCCAACCCCCCTGCCATGGGCAGGGACATCTTCAACTACATCAGGTTGCTCAGAGCCCCGTCCAACCTGACCTGGAATGTTTCCAGGGATGGGGCATCCACCACCTCTCTGGGCAACCTGGGCCAGTGCTTTACCACCCTCAGCGTAAAAAATTTCTTCCTTAGATCTAGTCTAAATCTACCCCCTTCATTCCCCCTTGTCCCGTCACAACAGGCCCTGCTAAAAAGTCTGCCGCCATCTTTTTTATAAGCCCCCTTTAAGTACTGAAAGGCTGCAAGAAGGTCTCCCCGGACCCTTCTCTTCTCCAGGCTGAACAACCCCAACTCTCTCAGCCTTTCTTCATAGGAGAGGTGTTCCATCCCCCTGATCATTTTCATGGCCCTCTTCTTAGTTATGCTGGTTGTTATATGGGGGGCAGATTGGGCTGCATTACTCAGCTCCAGCGCTTCTCCTGGTGTGACGGGTCTTTCTCCTTCGGCCTGCAGAGTGGTGAAGTGGTTCTGCAAGGGCACCTCAGCCCCAGAAAAGACAGAACAGGCTCCTCAGGTTTCTCTCCATCTCCTTCCTACCAAAACTTCCCTTCAAAATCAGCATGGGGAACCACTGCCATCCTGCCTGCCTCTAGACCCATAACTATGGTGCTAAGAGTCTGACCTTTATTTTTGGACCTCATGTCCCAAGCACACTGTATCTCACTGTGTCAAGTCTGCACCCATAGTACAGCACAGCTGGGCACAGTGACAGTTCCACCATCTATTTGTTCCTTCTCTCCCGCTGCTCTGCTTGAGAGGAATTCTACATAAAGACTCAAAAAACTACGTTGCCCTTCTCCAGCTTGCTCCTTAAAACCTCCCTTTGGTACAATGTGTATAAAACACAAGGCACTGAGGCGATTAGGCTGCTGGAAATAAGCCCACAGCCTATTTGTTTCCTTGTATTGTCCACTCCTTACTGTTCCCCCGGTCTCACCCTTCAGCCTTGTCTGCACGAGGACACTACTGTGGTAAACCGGAGGGTAAGCTAGCAGTGCCCCAACATGTCGGCACTGCCTCCCTCTGAGCAACCTGAGCAGAGGGAGCTCGCTCCGTGTCACGGCAGTGGTTAGTGCTGTAGAGCCAGGTGCCCTCACACCACCCAGGAGGCCCCTGCGCAGGCAAGGCTCCAACAGAAACCACACCTCCCCTCCCCACCCCACCCCGCTTGGCTCAACACAATGGATTCCTGCTTTCTGACAGGGCTCCTACATATTGCACGAATAATAGCATAAAATATTGCTAAGCTGCAGTTCTGTTCCTGCAGAGCTATGAATCACAACTCAGCGAAGAAGCTAAGGGAGTACTTTATGGGTAGGGGGCTTTCTTCATGCATAAGTTAGCTTGTAGAAAGCCACACAAAGTTTTTTTAGCTTTCCATCTCTTTTCCAGAAGGTCAGACATGCCTGAGAGGAGGGCTGCTCATAAACACCGCTTTTCGGAAATTAATAATAAAACGTTTCTATGGCTATTACTACATCCTAACGTAAGGACACAGCAAGAGTCGCAACTACCAGGGAAAAGAGAATCAGGACTGTGAATGTTGTCAAGACTGCTTGACCGTGAATTTATTTCTCCCATAGCTTCTGTTAATAGCACGACCGTTGGCAGGCAATCATTTAGACGAGTGCAGTGCGAGTTATATAAACAGAATTGTTCCTTAATGGCTCTTCCTTGCGTAGAAAGGGAATTGCATAGCACCTGCCCACATGCTGTCTGTTTTTAGCCTGTGCTATTGGTCCCACGCTTCCAGAAGCATTAAAACATGCAGGTGTTTTATTTTTTAGAACTATATTTATAACCTAGCAGAAGAGACAAATTTACACCACAACTCAATGTGCGACAATACAGCAGGCTGCAAGAGCCTTAGGGTGCCTTTCCCAACTGTCTGATTAACTCAGGAACTCACGTCAAAATGTCATCAGGTTTTCTCTGTTGGAGTCTTTTTCCCAAGCCAAATCCAAAGAAGCACACAGCAAACATGGGTGTCACTCCGATAATAGGAGCTGCCATTCCTCTATATAAGCCTCGGACTCCCTGCAAGAAACGTTATCACAGAATTACTTGGTTTTGCATAGACTTCGCACACATTTCAACTTATCGAGAAGCAAAAGGCTACAATGCAGGGCAGTATCAGTCAGCCAGTCAAACTAATCATAGAAATAACGGGGCCTGCTGTTCATTTGCAATGACACGTGTGTGGCTGAGGCTCAGGGCCTGTTGCAGAGGAAAGCTATCCTTCCTAGAAAACACTGGCACTCCTTATACCCTTCTGTTCCAATACTGTTCATCCCATACTTACATCTCAAGTATGAGGAAGTTAAGTTAAAAGCTACCTGAATAATAGTTCTAATAGATTATGTCAAAAGTCATCTCTCTCAGATACATACAAAAACGCACATGGGCTTCACTAACGTCATCAAATGCAGTAGTGTAAAATCCTGACACTGAGTCTGAGAACGCTGAATGGAATTCACTCTTCAGATAACGGAAGAGCCGGGGAGACTAACCTGAACTACTTCACTCCCCACATGAACGCAATTTGGAAAGAGTTCAAGAGCAAATCATTTTTTCTTTCCTTCCCTAAGTCAAAACTTTTTCACCATACAACTTTACGTTCCTGATGTTTCCCTTCATCAGACTACACACATGGAAAAACTCTAATGGAGACCCAGCAGTAGCATTTATTTCATTTATCTTGCCTTTGAACTGAACTTTTTCTAATAAAAAGGAGAGTTATCTTTCCAGATAAAGGCTAGATGCACAAATTAAATATTTGCTGGTCCGTCCGCCCCTTCCTTTCCCCCCCAAATAAGTCAGTGTATCCCAGTATGTGTCTGTACGCCTACAGGCACAACCGACTCTAATGAAATTGCATCTGGCTGACAAAGATCAGACACTCCTGCTCAATCTTCCCGGGAGCAGTGGGAAACAAAAGGCCTTGGCAGAGAGGTTTAATAGTTTTCCTTTCAGAAACTGATGAGTATTGAGTAGGAGTAGAGAGGCAGCATTACTTTTGAACTTCACATCACAAGGCTATTATTATGGTTCAGCTCTGACGTCCATGCTTCAGCAGGGGTGTTAAAAACCGCAAGGGATTCGGAGCTAGCAAAGCGTTTCAGTGCTTTGTGGGAGAGACTAGGGAAGCCAGATTTACTTTGGTTATATAACCACCTGTTAATACCATAACGAAAGTAGATTTCAGATATGAGGCAGATCTTTCATTTAACAGAGAGTTACCTAACAAGATCCAGCGGCCAGAAATTAGATTTCAGACTAGCAAACAAACAGTTGGGCTTTATAGCCATTGTTTCCAAACAGTAAATAGCTGCTGGGAAAACTTACGAAGCAGAAAACTGGATTCTATGTCACTTAAAGTCTTTAAACCGAGGCTGCGTGCCTTTCTAAAAACAAAACAGACTACAGTTCAATCACATGATATGGCTGATTCAGGAGTGAAAACCACTGTCCACCTTCTGAAGAAGATTGAACAAAACTACTATAATTGACCCTCTGTTCTAAAAAAAAAAAATTAAAAAAAATCTATTAACGAATGCTCCTCCGCCTTCTCGGAGATGGCATAACACATTACAGAAGAAAGTAAAAGTACTGCTTGTACCAACAAAAGTCATTGCCTATTTTAGGATTTCCAGAGACAATTCCAAATACAGCAAGATTCCACCGACTACAACAACAAAGCCAGCAAACAACTGCCAACATTCACTCCAGTCTATAACTTCAGATGTTAATATCATGCTATTTTGAACCAAAAGCGTTTCTTAACAAAACAAAGAGACATGCACCTGGAGCACGTGGACGCTAAGTATTCCCCAAGTTTTGTAATCTGCTTAAAAATTTCAGTTAGAATCAATTCAACTGATAACCCAAGAATTGTATAGTCTCTGGGGGGCAACATTCCCACAGGATTCCATCCCTGCGACGTACAGGAGCAACTGACATTTTTGGCAGGCGACGCAGGCGGCACGCTAACACAGTACCTCTCCGACGAGAGTCTTTCTGAAGCAGTCAAAGGTCCCAGAATAGAGCGGAGGTTGACCAGGCTGCGGCTTAGGCTGGGTTTGCAGTCTGACCTAGTGAGATGGGATAGGAAAACATTGTTTTATTAAACGTTACTACCTAAACTTTGATTCAGAAAACACCTCCATGAGACTGTTATGGAGTAAGTTTTGTGACCGGACTTTACGATGTTGGTTGAGAGACTCACATCATTGTAGCCCTTTGCAGAAAAGATTAAGTTTTAACGTATTTGATAGCTAATGTCTTTAACCCATTCATTGCCGGGATGACGTCAGGATAATAACCCCACCTCAAGGCCCGAGAACTAACGCCCCGCCACCGCTCCGCCTCCTCCCGTACCTAGCGTG